TCCATATAGTCAGAGTCATTGGTGTGGAGTACAAACTGACTCCTAGCTGAACCTCCAGTGGGTTTTCAGAGGCTCTAGATTGTACAACGGGAGATTGTCCATCTTTCTCAGAGCAACTGGTGAATTCGATACACTTGCCTTTGAGTTGGGAATACAACCCCTTACCCACTAGACCAGCAGAGCCTAAAATTATCTGAAGTGCTAAAACGTACTTTTCCACATTCTAATTGTTTCCAAAAGTTGTGTTGGGGGCCAGGGAGAACTAAACTCTAAATGAAAGTTTGTTGTTACATTTAAGGAAAGGATATGAGGCTAAATATTTGAACTCTCAAATTTTTCAACATTCTAGAGATGACATTTTATCATATACATCTATTTTATTATATTAATCTTGTGTCTAAATTTTAGGACAAAGAGTTTATAAAAACTTTAGTTTTTCTAGTTTTTAGTCTGCAATTGTAAGTGAGCCTAGCACCTGAGGGCTGTGCCAGTGTAGCTCTTCAAGGGAACAATACTGGGCTCCCACTTACAGTCCTTAAAACTCACCTCCTGCCATGGAGGCCCAACCAACTCCTGCCTGGTCCACAGACACCACAGAGCCCTGTGTGACATCAGCCCCGTTAATGACATTGCAACATACAACTTCTCTCATAAAGAAAACCTCCTATCAATTTGAATTATTGTTGTTATGTGCTGTCGAGTTGGAACCGACCCATAGCTGACACTTCAGCAGATTTTCAGAGGCAGTAAACCACACAGAAGGAGACTGCCCATCCTTCCCCTCCTGAGCAACTGATTGATTTGAACTGCGTGCCTTTGAGATTGCAGCATAGCTTCTTACCACTAGGCCACTAATTTGAACTAAGTTCACAGAATCAAATTGGACATGCATCACTATTTAATTATGTGCAACTTTCTTAGGTGACCCAAAAAGACCAACTCATGCAACTCATTACCTTCAAATCAGGAGCATCTTATTGGGTTTCAGGCTGTAAATAGCAAAGGAGTTTGCCATGTTTCTCCCAAAGAGCAGCTAATGGATTCATTCCACTAAAAAGGAGTGGCCTTTAGTCTGGAAGCATAACTCCCTACAGACTACATCACTTAGCACTCCCTCGACCCATGGAAGAACCTCTAGTGTCTTGAACTTCATGGCATATTCTAGACCAAAGTTTGGCTATTTCTGCCAGAAATGCTGAGAACTTGAAATGCCCCAAAGATCTTGGCAGAACAGTTGTTTCACTGTAAAATTTTTCTAATTGATTGTAAGGTTGCATGAGATTTCTCGCCCTGTGATTAAAAGTCCCTGTCCCATTTATCAAAGTTAATAAGTTGTTATTGTGGTTATGTACCATCAGGTTAGAACCTCCAGCAGGTTTTCAGAGGCAATAAATTGAACAGGAGAAGATTGTCCATCTTCCTCCCTCTGGTGAATTCATACCACCTGTCCTTGGGTTGGCAGTACAACTCCTTACCCACTGGGCCCGCAGAGCTCCCCTATATCTTATTAACGGAGTACCAGCTCTCTGTGAGACTGATCATAATTCTTATTCTGGATAACTGTATCCCAGGGACCAAGCAACTTCATCAAACCCATGTGTATTAAACTTGTCCCCAACTTTTTCTCATTATTAATCTCTTCCTGGATTCTCCATTCACCCTTCCAAGAATCAAATCTCTTCTTCCCCCCTCCCCCCACCCCAGGAAAATACAAGCCTAGTATTTTCTATTTCTGTAATCTTCCTGTAACTGTGTCTCTAATTTCGGTTTATTGTCTGTATGCCTATTAACCATCATTTGCCAGTTTTCTAAAAATCCAAACCTAAGGGCCTGTAAGCAGACACTATAGAAGCATCATTATTTTCCATGAACATCCCTGCTTCTCTATGACTATGGGAGAAATCACTGTGGCTGAGAAGAAGCGTGTGATCAAATTACTCTTATTAAAGTTGGCGTACTTTGATTTGCTTGTTCTTTCTTCTAATTCCAGGAAAAACGATAGGTTGTGTAGAAACTAAATTTAAGATTTTATCTTAGTGATTATCTGTTGGGGTATTCTACTACTAAATCACTTTTAAAAGCTGTATGTTGCAGGCTAACTTGGCATAGTTAACAATGAATATTACATGAGTCGCAACCACTCTGAGCATATGCCAGCCCTCCCTCTCCCCAGGAAATAGGGTCACAACCAAATATCAGCCGGATGTACCCTCTTTAGATGACATGCCAGTTTCTTGTGGGTTTCAGGTAGTGCATTCTCAAGTGTGATAGCCTAGAGTGGAAACAAAAGACAAGAGGGTGTTTTTCTTCTTAAAACCTCTCTGAATTACTTGATAATGTAAGCTTAAAATCCCTTAAAAGTAGTCATGTTCAAAGACATTTGACAGCTGAATCACTGCATTTGTTGGGGAGTTTTGTGGGTGGAAGGAGACACTCAGCAGAAGGGGTTTGGTGGCTCATGCACCTTGCATCTTCTTCTGTGCTTCTGTGTGATTAATGCTGCCTGTTGTTCGTGTGTTGTTCCTTCATTGTTGTGTGAACATTGTTTCCATTTTTAACTGGGGGTGTAGCATTGCTCTTGGTTGACATTGACATCTGGATTATTGTGCTTTATTATGTTGTAATTGCTTTAATTAGATGACCTACTTTGGGGTTGTTCCCCTCTCTCCTTTTCTGGGGCTTCCACAGCAAGAAGGGGGGACATTTATACCTTGGAAGGAATAAGGCATAGGTAATGAGTAGTATGTGGCAGGGCTTGAAGCAACTAAAAGACCCATACTTGAAAAGCTGTGCTTCCTGGTGGAGTACACTCAATACGTGTCTCCTTACTATTGGATCCTTAGGTACTGAAACTTGGTGAGACTCTCAGATAGGCATCTTCACCTGCCTCAGATAGTGTGAAGACTGAAAGCTGAGTGAAAATGTTACAACCACCTTTTGAGCATCCAGTACCTATCTAGCAGATGTATGGATTCTATTTTGGCACAGTGATTGCTATAAATTTGTTTTCCATCATCTTGTCTACTATTAGTCTGAAGGTTTTCATACTTTCAACATTATAAACTACAAGTTTATTTTAAATTTGTCATTTGAGTAGGAAGAAATAATGTTGTTTTTCAATATGAGAGTACCACTCTCAACCAATGTAAATGTCATTGGAGGATAATTTTCATAAAGGAAGTATTGATAGTACTGAAATAACTAGCAGGAAGGGACAATGAGAGATCTCCTGTTTTAATCCTTCAGCTTATAAGCAAGAAGACTGAGACCCTGAAAGGTAGACCATTCTTCTGGTTATAGATTCTGCTAAGCTCTCAATCAGATGTTAAAAAAATGGATGTGTTAATTCAAAATTGATCCTTTCATTTACTTAACTACTGCCCCACAGAATTTGAAGTCCTTGAAATATTTTTCTAATTGAGATTTTCATCTTGTGCAAACACAGGGCATTTTTGGAAGTTGGAGAACAAAGCCACCCAAGGTAAACAGAACTGTAGGCTTTTGGACTGGTGTGCCACAAATGTGCTTGGCCAGCATGTTTTGGAAATGTCATGAAAGGAGCAATTTAGTTGTAGTCCACTTTGGGGGGAGGATGTGGTTTTGTGGAGTAACATGTCCTACACTATTCTACTAGAATTTGGAATTTTTCCATGAAGACGTACGGAAATCTGATGTTGAATATGCAAATGGCCCCGCAGTGGAATCCCGCAAGGTGAGTTCTCCAGATCTGTGTGGCTCCCAGTATAGTGCAGATTAATTCCCATGCTTGGCAGACCCATCTCTAATTAACATGTGTGGTTTCCCTCCTCACTCTCCCTCCTAGGTTGCTGCAGGGGCACTAAGGTTTAGTGACCAGCCCAAGGACAAGTGGGACAGAGAAATGAATAGTGTTTCTGATGCTTCAAGAACATCAGAACACAAAACTGGAATTTTAGTGAAAGAAAATGCTGCAGCCAGTAAGAGTTTGCTGAGAGAAAGTAGAGACCATTCCCAGGAAAACGTGTCGAAAGTCAATTCTACTACCTCTGGCACTCATTCCTTAGAGGATGAAGTAAGTAAAGGACTGAAAGTCTCAGATCGGCAGACCTCAGCAGCTGAGACTCAGAAGGTGAATTATAAAAAGGTAAAGGAGCTGAGTCATCCAGGACAAGATGCTCCTAGGAGCCACCTTCCCGCGCCCACCAGACCAACTGAATTGAGCGCTCATGACGTCAAAGCACAAGACCGGGAAGATTCCGTGACAGATATTGGCCAAGTCATTCTAAGACCCAAGGGGGCGAGGCACACCAGCCCGAGTGCTAGTGAGGAAGGAGACCCCGCCTCGAGTTCTCCCACGGAAGAGAGCGCACCCCCTGACAACATTGCCTTCATGATCACCAGCACTGCAGTCCAGGTGCTGTCCAGCGGGGAGGTCCGTGACATAGTGAGCAAACAAGGAGAAGATGTACAGACCGTCAATATTGATGCCAAGAAGGAGCTGACCTCCCTGCCAGGAGGGATGGAACAAGAAGAGCCAGTGGTGTGCCTCGACAAGAAGCCAGTCATCATCATCTTCGACGAGCCCATGGATATCCGGTCGGCCTACAAGAGACTTTCCACCATATTTGAGGAGTGTGATGAGGAATTAGAGAGAATGATGACCGAGGAGAAGATCGTGGAGGAAGAAGAGGAGGAAAATGGAGACCCCAGTATTCAGAATAACCCTGCCCAGGGGTTTACCCAGAAGGTTGCCTCCCTTAGCCTTGGATCGGGACAGCCAGCTGAGGGCAAAGTGCAGTCTCACTCCCAGCCAGCAGACACCAGAATACCAGGAGGAGGACAGGAGAGGAGTAAGATGGACCTGAGCAAGCTCGGCCCAGCAGAGTCTCTAGACTCTGAGAACAAGTGTGACATCACCGACGACCAGTTTGAAAGCCCCAAGAAAAAGTTCAAGTTCAAATTCCCCAAGAAGCAGCTGGCTGCACTCACCCAGGCCATCCGCACGGGGACCAAGACGGGGAAGAAGACTCTGCAGGTGGTGGTCTACGAAGAGGAGGAAGAAGATGGCACCCTGAAGCAGCACAAGGAAGCCAGGCGGTTCGAGATCTCCCGGTCCCAGCCCGAGGACGCCCCCAGGACTCCAGCCCAGAAGCCGGAGCAGCCCAGCTCAGAGGGCTCACGGCAGGTTTCAAGAACTGATGAAATTCGGAAGAATACCTACAAAACCTTGAACAGCCTGGAGCAGACCATCAAACAGCTGGAAAACACCATCAGTGAAATGAGTCCCAAAGCCCTAGGTGATACCTCATATTCTTCCAACAGAGATTCTGTTGCAAGCTCACCCCACCTCACTCAAGAGGCCTCTCCTCGCACCCCACTAGCTCTGGATGAAGCTCCCACTGCCCTAGAACCCCCCACAGCGATACCTCCAGCTTCACGTAAGGTATCTTGGGCTGATGGAAAATGACAAGACTCAGCTGCTTTCTTAAATCTGCCATAATCACCATTAGCCAAAGGTGTCTTGTGATTGACTTGCTTCCTTTCAGGTGGCTCGTTTTTGTTTGGGTTTTGTTGTTTTGTTTTTTCTGCTCACCATGATCCCTCCTCTCACAGTTTCCTCCCTCCCCTCCAAAACAACAACTAGGTGTCTAACCGCTAATCAAGTCTCTGTTGCTGGTTGGTGTCGGGTAAACGCAAGGATTCTGGGCCGGCCGTCTGCTGTGTGAAATGATTGCTCTGGTCCTCTCATTAAAATCCGTCCAATCAGTAGTAGAGCAGTTGATTCTGTTTGATTCTTGGAATTAACCCCAGTGGTGTCTCCTGATGTCCGTCTCCTAGACCTGTCCTGCATGTAGGGCTGTGGCTTCTCACACTGAGCTTCTGCGCACGGTGGGACAGGCCCCTCAGGTCACTCACTCACGGGGTGGTCCTCTTCTCTTCTCCTCTGTCTTCTTCCCCACAGGGCCCCAGCGGGACCCCACAGACCAGCAGGATGCCTGTCCCCATGAGTTCCAAGGGCAGATCTGGAAGCGCGGACAAACCCAGCAAGCAGTCCAAACTGCAGGACCCCCGCCAGTATCGTCAGGTAGTTTTACCTTAAACCCAATTTTGGATGGACAGTCTTGCTGTTAAGAAGCAAGCCGCTGACTTAGTTGATACCAAATAATGTGTTATCTTTGTAAAATAATGGTTTCCGTAGACATCCTGGATCTGGGGGCATGAAGGAAGACTAAAAGATCTCTGTTAAACTTCTCACCACGCTTTTTTGCATGCTTGCAATGAAACATCTTTTACGTTTGTGACTTCCCCACGTTAGCTCTTAACACACGGTGCCAGCCCAGTTGACTTCTTCTCTCTGGTGAATTGAATGTGGTGGTTTGTGAGAACGCCACAGGGAAGGCAGGCAGACCAACCTGTTCCTCCACTGCTCTTAAAGCCACCGGTACTAACATGGATGTTGACTGCACTGTTTTTAGAAGCACATTAACTCTCCCTCCTGAACTCCCTCTCCCCCACCCCAGTAATAACCCAGACGCATGGCCCGCCCGGCACACGGTAACAATGGTAGTTGGAATGATGTGACTCTTCTCACAGATGCTCTTCTTCCTGGTTTTCTGCCCATCCCTTGCTGTGTCCTTGGGGGGTTTCTACCAGGTCTAATACAGCACAAGACTTAGCTCAGGCCTTGAACTGTGTTTATATATGTATTTTTTTTCTTTTGTTTATTTAATTCTCAGAAGGGCTGTATTGCCAGGCCCTGTGGATTTGCTCATGTTACCAGCTTTCTGACAAACTGTCTCCCACCATCTTTATTTACAGGCTAATGGAAGTGCTAAGAAAGCTGGTGGGGACAATAAGCCTACTTCCCCCTCCTTACCTGCTTCTAAGATTCCAGCCCTTTCTCCCAGCTCTGGGAAAAGCAGTTCTCTGCCCTCTTCCAGTGCCGACAATTCTAGCTTCCCTAATCCACCTGCTACTAAACCATCGGTTACTTCTTCTAACCCTCTCAGCCCCCACACAGGACGAGCCGCTCACTCTGCCTCCCTCATCCCCTCTGTCTCTAATGGCTCCTTAAAGTTTCAGAGCCCCCCTCATCCAGGTAAAGGTCACCATCTCTCGTTCTCACTGCAGACTCAAAATGGCCGAGCAGCCCCCCCCCCCTCCCCCGCCTCCCCCACCTCCCTGAACCAAGGTGCCAAGAGCATCCGGACCATCCATACTCCCAGCCTCACCAGCTACAAGGCACAGAACGGAAGTTCCAGCAAAGCCACCCCATCCACAGCAAAGGAGACCTCTTAAAGGCCAAATCCTATTAGGCACAAGTTGGAGTTGTATTAAAAAAAATTTTTTTAAGTCTTTTTAACAGTGTGCATCAACTGTTTTCTCAAGAGAATGTAACATATTGCTGTATTGTTTGAGGCTTAATGCTAAGTATGTTTTAAATACTGGATTAATAGATTTTCGTAAAACAAGGTGGTTGGTTGTTCTTTTGGGTTGGTTTTTGTTTTCTTTTTTTCCCGTTGCTCTTGTAATGATACAGTGTTTACTGTCTCTATCCAATACCTGTTACGTGAAGCAAGCATGTTACTACAACAGAGTCTGGTAAGGGAACTGGGGTGGATGTGAGAGAGAAGGGGGAAATGTACTGAGCATGTAAAACGATGTATGATTCCAGAGTTTTAGTATGTTTTGTATAAAAATATTTTTCATTACAGAGACTAGAAGTGAACAGAGAAATACACAAGTGTGACTATACAAATTGTAAAACAGATACTATAATATTTTCCTTTTATTTTAGGAATTATTTAGCTTTATTACAGATTTCTATTTTTGTCAAGATGTCATGGTTCCTTTCAAGATCTTTTTTGCCAAAACATTTTGATACTATAGCATTGTAGATTTGAAAGTAGGTTAGACTTTAAGCCAATGAACTTCTGCACAAGCCATCCGGGTGCCGTGTGTAGAAGGCAACTTATCAAACATTCTGCACTGCCATGGAAATTCTGTATAATAAGTTGCTAGCCCAAGCAAACTGGCTTTCTTTTTCTTTTTTTCCATCCTTTCTTAACATTGGAGATTCTCTCACCATTTCCTTTGCAGTATCTCTCTAACCTCTTTGTTTCTGGAGACCCGGTAACCCACACAATTGCATTGTGGATTTTAAAAATGTACACTTCTGTACGGTTCTGTAAACTGACAAACTTTTGTAAATATTATAAATATGGGTAGACATTAAAATACGGTATGTGACAGCACATAAAAGTAGTTTTCCCACACCAAAGTTAATTTTTATGCATGCTTTAAAAAAATATATATTGGGATGGGCAGAAATGGGACTATCCATAAATTTTTAAAAAGAGCAACTTGTTTGCACAGCTATAGTGTTTTGTAAATAAATGTATTTGTATAACACAGTCATGTAATATACAGAACTATAAGCAAAGACTTTGCAAATCTTAAATAAAGGGATGCATGCTTATTATTTTTTGTACCTTGTTATTGTAACTACTTCCAAGTCAAAGAACATAACTGCACCTCTTACAGACTGAAGTGGTTTTGGCTTTAAGAGCATTACATGCAACACAGTTAAAATGCCTGAATTCTAACCTCAAGTCAATGGTTCGAACCTACCAGCCATTGCATGAGTGGAAAATGTGACTGTTTGCATAAAAATGTATCACCTTGGAAGTCCTACGGGGCAGTTTAACTCTGTCCTTAGCACCACTTTGAGTTCAAACTGTCTCATGAGCAAAATGCTTGGGATTTGAACCACACTCATTAAGCCACTACTGCTTTTCTAAAAGCTAGGAGGTGTAAATCCAGCACTGATCATATTCCCAATAGACTCCTTACAAATGCGGTGCTGGCTTCGGTAGCCAACTGTCTCCTCTAGCTGATCAGAGCTTGGCTGCATAAAACAGACCTGAATGAGGAGTTTCTCCACCCTCATTTACCCAAAGGGTTATTTTTACTTTCTCTCTCTCTCTCTCCCTCTCTCTCTCTCTCCGTCTCTCTCTCTCTCAAGTCTTCAGTAGGGGGAGACATAAAATATGTGTTCTCAATTTTCAAGAAATATTGCTGGTCAAGAAGAGAATCAGGTGTTGCGTGTTTTCATTTAAAAGAACAGAGGGAAAAGAGATTGAAAATAATACCAAAACAATGAATTGATGAGAAGAAAAATCCCAAGAACCTGCTTATCATTATGTTTTGCCTTTTAAATCTTTATATTTCTGGTTTCGTGTGTAGTACAAATACCCTTATGACCTTGGAAACCCATTGGTTTGTCTTCTCAAGCTTTCAGCTTATTGAGCACCCCAGAACTGTACACATTCCAACTCTACCCATTGTGTGGAGGAGCCCAGATGGTGCTGTGTCTTACGTGCTACGCTGCTCACTGAAAGGCCAGTCATTGGAATTCACCAGGTTCTCTGAGTGAGAAAGAGGGACAGTCGTCACCTTTAAATATTTGTGGTCTCAAAAACTCGATGGAAGCTTGATGAATCAGAATCAACTCCTTGGCAGTGGGTTTGGTTTGCTTTGGTTTGGTTTGATTTGGATTACTGCGTGAGTATCTCTAGTTTTAAGTTGCTCTTCTTGTTAGGTGTCATTGTTGAGTCACCTGTGACTCATAATGGCCCTGTGACCAGTGGCTCTGAATCCTGTTTTTTCTTGTGCCATCCTCATCTCTGACACACTTGAACCGTTGTTACAGTCACTGTGTCAATCCGTTTCATTGACGGTCTTCCTCTCTCACGCTGACTCTCGATGGCCCTCAGGAGAGGGAGTCTTTTAGTAGAAAAATTTGCAATATTTTATCCATTCCCCTGAATCTTGTCAACAATCACATTATATTTTAAAAAAATCCTTGGAGTGGCTAACTAATTCATGCCAGTGTTATTTGTTCCAGATGATGGACAAGCTGAGGCTTCATTGTGAGCAGCTAAACAACAGATTGGAGCTCAGTTTATTTCATTGAATCCCAGAATTCCCAGAGCAGGGAATATAGAGTTCAAACAAGCTGAACAATCAGAGGGAACAATCTCCAGCCAGAGCCCCTCACATCAGTCCAGCTGGCAGCAAATTCACATATCCCCCATGACTGCCCTCACGCTTGACAGTTCACGAGAATGACTCACAGAACTCAGGAAAGTGCTTCATTTACTGCTTCATTGCAGAGAATGTGCAATTAGACACAACTAAGTGACAGCTACAGGGATGCCTGGGAGGGGTAAGGTCAGGGAGCCAGAGCTGCTGTGGCCTCGTCCACTCCACATATCCCTACATATTGCAATGTGTGCATGGAGTGCTGCCCACCCAGGCAGCTCAGCCAAGCTTCAGTGTCCAGAATTTCTATTGGGGTTTCTTTACGCAAACACGATTGATTAAATCCTCACCCTCATGGCTGAGCTCAGTCTCCCCTGAGGTGGAACTGATATCACATGGTTCAAAGCCCCAACCCTCTTAATCAGCTGGTTGGTCTTTCTGGCATGGCCCCCGCCAGATCCTGAGTCATCTCCTCTCAAGGGCCCCCTCCCTAAAGGCTTCTCCAAATGAACTGTCACACAACAAAGACACTGAGTAAAATTCCAAAGATCTAAGCAGTTACTTCCCAAGAACAGGAAACAAGAGCCAGTCACACAAAGTCATGGAGGCAATGGTCAGTTTCAGCAAATGTGATGAAAGAGTTGGTTCATTAAGCAAGGAGAAGCTCAATGAATCCATTCATTACACTGGTCTGAGATCAGCAATGTATTGACTTCCATCCTCAGGACAAGGGTAAGAATCTGCAGAAATTGCCTCCAAGTGGGCACTGGCTGCCTGTGACAACACTTAGCAGAGGAGCCTCGAGGTTCTTTTAGCTTCTTAGGGAGTGATGTTGGGTAGGATGGGCTTTTGGATTTTCAGATTTTAGGGAACTATTAACAGATTCTTGCTGCATTGGCTTTTAAGGTCATCATTCAGCTAGTCAAATCTGAAAAAGAATCTTTGATATGATAAGTCACCAGCATTTGCTGTGGGTTAGGGCTGGCGGCAGGCAGGCAGCAGGGGATGGCGCATGGCTGTGCCAGGAGGCTCAACTGCTATTTGCTAGTTGTGCAATCTTGCATATGCATCTTGGTTTCCACATAGGCTAAAGGAGACCGACCGTAAGAAGAGTGCAGCCAGTGTGGGACGATGGTATCTGACCTCCAGCAACACCACTAGGGAAAACACTTTTCATCCACAGCACAAACCCTATATGAACAGAGAGAAGCTCTGGTAGTATAGCTCATAGGGGCAGCACCAATAACCCAAAGACCATGCTTCTCTGGCAATTCAAATCCAGCAGCTTCATGGGAGAAAATATGGGCAATCTCCCCTGTGATTTACAACCTTGAAAACTCAGTGGAGGGTTAGCGATGCATTGGTTCCAACTCAAGAGCAATGAGCATTTTGAGTCTATGCAGTCAAACATGCCCTCATGTTCCCTGCACCCACTTCTACCCATTTTCACACCAACCATCCCTCCCAGAGCTCTAACTGCTCTGCTACTGGGTCTATTAATCAGTTGCAGTGGCCATGCAGAGCTCATGGACCATATTTATGATTATGAGGTTTATTAGAGAAACTCAAGTTGGAAACAAGATAGAATTATTCTGTGAGTACAGCTTCTTAGATGTGCTTGCAGGCCTCCTGACCTTTAGCTTTTATTCAGTGTTACACAGTTCTTTTAGTCTGGTAAATTATAGTATCTCACTTCAGTCGTCCAGTAAACTTGGGTGCAGCCCCTCTGCACTGGCCCCACGAAATGTAGTTCTGTTAAGCTCTGTCTCGCATCAGTTTCTGGTTCTCTTACTTCTACTGCTTCTGCTCTTGCTGTGGGTCTTTGTCTCTTGTATGGGAATCTCTTCCTGAAGGGTCACACAGCACTCTCCACTTCTTTCTTGATGGTAATGAGATTCCCGTTTCCCGTCTCTAAACCAGTTCCGTTTAAGTCTGCCAGGATGGCAAAACTAACCAGTTCCCTCATTAATAAATAGCCTATAAGTCAGGAAATCAAAAAGCGTATCGCGATGGGAAAGTCTGCTGTTAGGGACCTCTCTAAAGTACTCAGGAGCAGCGGTGTCTCTCTGGAGACTAAGGTGCGCCTGATACAGGCCATGGTCTTTGCAGTCGCTTGTTATGCATCAGAGAGTTGGACAATGACTAGGGAGGACAGAAGGAGAGTGGATGCTTTTGAGCTGTGGTGCTGGAGAAGAGTACTGAATGTACCATGGACTACCAGGAAAACAAACAGATTCATCTTGGAGAGGGTTAAA